CTTCCCATTTTCCTTCCTTTTTCCAACCCATCTCCTTTCTTCCTCCCTCCCTCTCCTCCCTCTCCCTTTCTTTCTCCCTCTCCTCTCTTCCCTCCCTACCTCTCTTCCCTCCCATTTTCCTTCCTTCCTTTTTTCCAACCCATCTCTCCTTCCTCCCTCCCTCTCCTTCCTTTCCCTCTCCCTTCTTTTTCCCTTCTCTCCTCTCCCCTTCCTTCCCTCCCACCCTCCTCCCTGCCTCTCTCCCTCCCACATTCCCATTTTCCTTCCTTTTTTCCAACCCATCTCTCCTTCCTCTCCCTTTCTTTCTCCCTCTCCTCTCTTCCCTTCCTCCCTCCCTCTCATCTCCTTCCTTCTCTTCCTCCCTCCCTCCCATCTTTCTCCTTCCCTCCTTCACCACCCATCTCCCTATCCAAAACAATTCTGGGCGGCTTACTATGGTTTCAGTTGCCACTGAAATTTTGAGCAACCCAAAAACACTTTGGCTGCCCAGGTTCTTGGAGTTTGAGAGAGTGGTTGTCAGGTTTCCAAGTGATGAAATCCATTTAAAAAGAAAAGAACAAAGTCCATCTTCCAAAACAATTTCTTTCATTTAGGAAAGCATCAAAGTGGCAAAGTATGTGGTGTAATTTCGGGTTGTGTCAGAGAGAAAGAAAGAAAAGGAATATATAATAAGGCTAAATAAAATGTCTATGTATATGTCAATTTCGGGCTTGATAGTGGCCTTGTGGTGTCATGTGCATCAGGTATGATCAACCTTTCCGGCTCTGAAGAAATCACACCTGAAGGGGAAACACGCCTTCTGCCCAAGAAGTCCCATCGTGGGATGCCATGCTTGCTAGCCTACTCATTGGGGTTACGAAGAAGACAGAGTCGGAAAGAACAGCCTTTTAACCTCTTGCAGAGTCGGGCAGAGAAAGGAAGCGTGATTAAAATGTAACATTCCTCCTGTCTCCAGGAATTGAGAATTGCAACATATCTTCTAGAACAGTGGTTGCCAACCAGTGGGCTGGGGACCACTGGTGGTCTGTGAGAAAATTTGGGTGCTCCACAGAGAAATGTCACCCCCAAAGCAATTAATCCAGGGGGTGCGGGAACACATGGCTTCCATCGCTTGTATTGCAAACAACACGAGGTAGTGAGGGGAGGGAGGAAAGGGTGGAGGGGGGGGAACTTGCCTCACGCGCCCCACACGCCTGGCGTGGCCACCGGGCTGCTTCTTTCTGCTTCTTTTTACTTCTGCTTTTGGCTGCATGCAAGGAAAGCAGCAAAAGTCTTTCTTTCTCTCACCCAATTCTGCCAGAAATGAGTCTTGGGACCCTGCAAGGCCTCCTCCTCCAAGAGGCTGGCAAAGACTCGTTTCTGGCAGAGTTTGGAGGCGAGAAAGAAAGACTTCTGCTGCTTCTGCTGCTTCCCTTGCATGAAGCCAAAAGTCTCTCTCTCTCCCCCTGAGAACGGAGCTAAAAAGCAGGTTAGGAATGTGGCTGCCTTGGAGGGTATTGGGGTGTGTGAGGGACGTGTGTGTGTGTGTGTGAGAGAGAGAGAGAGTGTGAGAAAGAGAGAGAGAGAGAAAGAGAGAGAGAGATCACTGCTAGCCCTCTGAGGTTAGATCCGATTTCTCTCTCTCCCACCCTCAGCAAGCCACTGTCAGTCAAAATTCATATTAATTGTCCACTGGATTTAAAATTATGAGCTTGGTGGTCCCTGGGGTCCAAAAGGTTGGCAACCCCTGTTCTGGAAGATGGCAGGCTAGGTGAGACTGCCTTGGCACGAGACCAGTTGCTCTTTACATCTCCTGTTCTTAGTTTCCCCCCGAGAAATCAATCACACCCTGGCGTAGCTTTCTCTGGTTGAAATAGGTTGACTCTGTGCTTTCAGCACTTGACATTTGGTGAGGGTCCTTGTGGCCCAGCCTCAGGAGGAATGGTCTAAATTCCATGTCATGCTTCAGAACACGCCTGCTAGAATCTCTCCAGGAGACAGCTTACCAAAAGGACAAAATATATATATATATATATATGGGTGGATAAATAATTAAAATAAATGCAATCACAGTTGACCTGTTCTAAGGACAAACATCTAAGAAATGAAGAACTGCAGGACTCGGTTAAAAGAAAGAAAGAAAGTGAGCAGCTTAGGGAAAATTTATGGTGGACGTTCCATAAATCACAGATTTTAAAAAAAATGAACACAAAAAATCATGGGAGAATTGACAAATCCCCCCTCCCCCCCAAAAATCCCCCAAGATGCTGATCATCTATGGAGATTCTCAGCCACCCAGGTCATGGTTGTCCGAAAGGTGCCTTTTTTTCAAGAGGCAACCGGACTTTGTGGTTTTTCTTTGAAGACGTTTTGCTTCTCATCGGAGAAGCTTCTTCAGCTCTGACTGGATGGTGGGGAATGGAAGGATTTATACTCCTTGCAGAAAAGCTGGTCATTTGCATCCTTTTAGAGGATCGTTGAGGCCACTTGGAAGTTTATCTCTGTCGGAGGGATCTGACATCATCTACCACCTGTCTACAACACAGTCCTTTCAGCCATCCCAAGAAGGCTCCACACCCATTTGCACTACTCAGGTGACCCTGAGGACACAGACAAACCTCCAAGTGGCCTCAGTGGCCCTCTAAAAGGATGCAAATGACCAGCTTTTCTGCAAGGAGTGTAAATCCTTCCATTTCCCCACCATCCAGTCAGAGCTGAAGAAGCTTTTTGGATGAGAAGAGAAACATCTTCAAAGACACAGTTGCCTCTTGAAAAAGCCCCTTTGGGATAAGGTGCTGATCATTGATTCCTGTTCGCTGAACTCTCTGCAAGAAATGATCCTTGGTAGGGACTTGTTACAGGTAATCTGGAATATCATCCCTCAATCTTATGGAATTCCATCTCTCTCCTAGTTATCATGGTCAACGGGCAGAGATGGTGGGAGTTACAGGTAGTCCTTAAGTTAAGGCCATTCCTTTCATGACTGTTTGAAGCCATGATGGTGCTGAAAACAGTTGTGACTGGTTTTTGCAATGAGGATCATGGCAGAATTTCCTGTGATCAGGTGATTAAAACTTGGAGGCTTGGCTACTGGCATGTACGTATGACTGTTGCAATCATGTCATCTCCACTTGCAATCTTCCCACGAGCAAAGCGAATGGGCAAAGCTGGATTTGCTGAAGGACGGCATGATTCTCTTGATGCCGTCGGGGGAAAAAAAGGGTCATCAATTCAAGCACGACTCATTTAACAACCTCGTGCCTAGCAAAGAAATCTCTGGTCCTGATTGTGCCGTCGTGTCCCTGTCGTAACCTGAATCTGTGGGGATAGACGAGCTGGCACTGGAGCTGACAGAGATGGAGGGGGTGGCTTCGTTGGCTTCGGAGGAAAATGCGGACGAGCAAGCCCAGTCAGGCCAGGGCCTTTCAGGATTGGGTCGGCTTATAGGCAGGGAGGAACAGGGGCAGGATGACGAGAGGTTAAACAGGGAACGTAAGAGACAGAGCTCAGGCGATGAGCAAGGACCACCCCCTCCTGATCCCCGAGCACAGAGAGTGGAGAGAAGGCGAGAACAGCGCAGACTGACACAACTACTCGGCAGGAGAGCGCTCCGCCCCTTTTCACAAGGCACACCTGGGAATTGAGACTTAAGAGGCCTTTGTAGGGAGGGGCATTTGTTGGGAACAAATGCTGAATTCCTGGAGCGTTGAGTGCAGATTGATTTTTTGGGATTCTTGCTTTGCTTCTTGGCTTTCTGGACTCTTCGACTTGCCTGCTGGATTTTCTTGCTTGCAGCCATGGCGCTCACAGTATTGGACTGGACTATTTGCAGCCAGAAGCGTGTGTGTGTGTGTGTGCATACGTACATGTCATCCCTTGGCTCTGGGACTTGCCAGAAACGTGGAAGAATTTGGGGGGGGACTTTGGAGCAATAAAGGGGCGGTTGGAACTGCTAGCTACCTGTGCTGCCTCTGTGCCCTGCCCAGGATCATCAAACTGCTAGTTAGAGGAAGACTGCTTCTACTGGCCATCCATTGGAAGATGATTAACAAGCTGAATTTACTCCGTAGGGCAGATGGGGTCCACTTATTGTCAGAAGTCCCCCAGGAAGATCTTCACGCCATTATGAAAAACTCTTTTGCCGTCGTTAACAGTTCCATATCCGAAGGGATGTCAGCTGCAATTTTAGAGGTAATTTTTCCTTACTTCCAGGTGGGGAGAACTGTGTTGGGCTTGGAAACCTGTGTCCTCCTTCTGTTGATGTTCCTTAACTCTTAAAAGATGTAGGACATAGACCAAGGGTCTTCAAACTTGGCAAGTTTAAGATTGGTGGATTCCAACTCCCAGAATTCCTAAGCTAACATGACTTGGAGGAGGAATTCTGGGACTTGAAGTCCACAAGTCTTAAAGCTGTCAAGAGATAGACTACTAAGAGTTGGAAGGGACCTTGGAGGTCTTCTAATCCCACCTCCAACCTTATACCTACTTCTGGAGGCAAAGTCGTTCCACTGATGAATTATTCTCGCTGTCGGGAAATATCTCCTTCATTCCAGGTTGCTTCTTTCCTTGATTAGTTTCCCTCTATTGCTCCTTGTCTTGCTTTGGAGAATAAGTTGATCCCAACTCTTCTTTGTGGCAGGTTGATCCCCCCTCTTTATTGGTCTCCTCTTCCTTTGAACTGTGAAATAGCTAAATAGCTGACTGAAGTGGCAGCCCTTCAAATATTGGAAGACTGGCATTATGTCACCTCCTAAACTTTCTCTCCGTTAGACTAGATATACCCTGCTCCTTCAAACATTCATTGTACGGTTTAGACTCGAAATCTTTTGTCATCTTTGTTGCTCTTCAAACAGACAAAGCTCTCGTTCTCTCTCTCTTTTTTTTTTTTTGGTCAAACAGACAAAGCTGTTTGAACTGTTTTGTGAAATCGACCAGCCATGTTGAGTTTGCATTCCCCTGTTTGGCCCATTGACTTGGATCTTCATGGAGATCCAGAATACAAACAGACAGACAGACAGAAAGACAGACAGCCAGACAGACACACACACAGAGAGAGGGAGAGGGGAAGAGGGAGGGAGAGAGAGAAAGAGAGAGAGAAGGAAAAAAAGGAGTGAGAAAGAGAAAGAGAGAGAGAAAGAAAGAGAGGGCAAAAAAGGAGAGAGAGAGGAGAGGGAGAGAAGAGAGAGAAAGAGGGAGAGAAAGAAGGTGAGAGAGAAAGAGGGAATGAGAGAAAAAGAGAAAGTAAGAGAGAGAGGGAGAGAAGAGAGAAAGGAGAGAGAAAGAAGGAGAAAAGGAGTGAGAGAAAGAGGGAGAGAAAGAGAGAGAGGGAGAGAAGAGAGAGAAAGAAAGGGAGAGAGAAAGAGGAGAGAAGAGGGAGAAAGAGGGAGAGAAAGGAGAGAGAAAGTAGGAGAGAGAGAGAAAGAGGGAGAGAGAGAGAGGGAAAGTAAGAGAGAGACTGCAGAGAGGAAAACACAACTGAACCTTTTGCTGTCTAATAAAACCCCCTGAATGAAGCCCATTGTGTACTGTTTAAATCAACCCTATTATTAAAAGTCAGTTCTGATTTAGTCTGGCAATTACAAGCAAGAGAGGCCAATTTTCCTTTGCTGATTTATTGGTCTCTTCTTCCTTTGAATCGTGAAACAGCTAAATAGCTCACTGAACTGTGAACACCTCAAAGTTGGGGTGCCAAGAGAAAAGTTTTACAAATCAAGAAGAAAAAAGCAAGTCACAAAGAACATAAGTTTCCACTTCCTTTTCACTATCTTGAAAAGGTCAGATAATCTCTCTGGATTTCCTACCCGAAGAAGCTGGAAATCAAATTCAAGGAAGGTTTCGACAAGGTTAAAACCCCTTTGGGCTCAACTCCCCTCTTTAAACAAGACCCTGAGGATTTGCAGTTTGGAAAGAAAAATAATCTTGCGACCAACTCCAAGATTCTCCCACGTAGATTACAGGTGGGGAAAAAAATCAATGGGAACCAGCTTTGAAATGCATTTCCTTCCCTCTTCTGTTGGTGCTCCAAAGCCTTTTTTTTTTTTTTTCAAATTCTTCTTTTGTTTAGAATTCATCTGTTTGATTTAGCCGGTTTCTTTAAAGGTCTGCCTTTATTTTTTTTTTGGCATTTAATTCTGCCCAGTTTGTCTTCGACAATCTGGCCGACTGCGACAATAAAGAAAGACCAAAGAAAGACAACTTGTGAAGGCAGGGGCTGTTTTAGTTAGTCCAGGTTCTCCTCCCTGAGATGGCCAACGGGCAGAAACGCCATCTGTGAAATGCCTGTTTCATTAACCAAGACTGCAGTTTGGCCTGCAAGGATATTAAATGGAACTGCAGCCCAGGGAGGCGGGTTGGATGAGGAAAAATAAATAAGTGCTGTTTTGAGCCCTTTCGATCAAAAAGAAGAAGAGGGAAGAGAGAAGGCAGGATTATCTCAGGCCACATTTATGCAGCTTCTACAGAATGGAAATCTCTAAAGCCCGTTGGAAAGGAAGTTTGAACATGAGCCAAGAAGACAGTTATTCCGATAATAATAACCATGGCACCCTAGGTTCTTGGGAAGAACTTGATGTGTATGAAAGGCCAACATCAGCTAAAGAACTGGCAGTTTAGGATTTCATGTTGGGAACAAATGTCAGGAGTCGAGAACCAAGAAACACGTACAGTTTTTTTCTGAGCGGTTTCCTTTACGTTCCTTACCTTCAGACAGAATCTTGCCAGACTAAAACAATTCTTCCTACCATTAAAGGTATGACCAATAGATTAACATAGTTGGAAGGGACCTTGTAGGTCATCTAGTCTGACCCCCCTCCCCCCCGCCCAAGCAGAAGACCCTACACCATTTCTGACAGATGGCAGTCCAGTCGCTTCTTGAAAGCCTCCAGGGATGAAGCTCCCACAACTTCTGAAGGCAACTTCAGGTCCATCAGTTGATTGTTCTCACTGTCAGGAAATTCATCCTGATTTCCAGGTTGAATCTCTCCTTGTCTGGTTTTCATCGTCATTCCTTGTCTGGCCTTGCTTTGGAAAATAGCTTGACCCCCTCCTCACTGTGGCAACCCCTGAGAACTTCTACAGAGGAGCCCTCTTAACCCTCTTCCTCCCAGCCAAACTCTCCAAGCTCTTGTTCCTCCACAAGGCAGCCCCTCCCTCCTGGGAATCCAGACTACATTCCACACCACATCTGATACATTTTGCAGAATTAGAGAGTTCCATCCTTATAATTAGGCCCTAGGGTTTAATATTTACTCAAGAGGTGAAGGTACAAGGGGAAGAAAAATGACAATACATGATCAACGGAATGTAGTTTGCTTCTGAAAAGGGTGAACACAATGGAAGGGAAGGGAATAGAAACGGAGTTGGAAGGGACCTTGGAGGTCTTCTAGTCCAACCTCTGCATAGATAGGAAACACTACACCATTTCAGACAAATGGTTGTCCAAACTCTTCTTAAAATCTTCCAGTGTTGGAGCAGTCACAACCTCTGGAGGCAAATTGTTCCAATGGTTAATTGTTCACAGTGTCCAAAATTTTTTCCTTAGTTCTAAGTTCCTTCTCTCCTTCATTAGTTTCCATCCGTTGCTTCTTGTCCTGCCTTCAGGTGCTTTGAAGAATAGCTTGACTCCTTCTTCTTTGGGGTAGCCCCTGAGATATTGGGAGATTGCTATCCTGTCTCCCCCTGGTCCTTCTCTTCCCTAGACTAACCATGCCCGGTTCCTGCAACCGTTGTTCATATGTTTTAGTCTCCAGTCCCCCAGTCATCCTGGTTGCTCTTCTTTGCACTCTTTCTAGAGTCTCAACATCTTTTTTTTTAATTGTGGCAACCAATACTGGATGCAGTATTCCACCTTGTGAAGTGTCACATTCTAGTGCATCCAAATTACAGGTATTTTTAATCACACAGTCACCTTGCTCAAGGAAAGGACAACTGCCTTAAAATTGCCAGTCATTTAGGGAAGTAACTGTGTACTGCATAAACCACTCAGGTAGGTTTGGTTGGTACAAAGCCAAGCCTTCCCCTCCTGCCTTCGCCATCTGCCACCGTATTACATCCTGCTGATGTAATAGAAGGTTATGGGTGTGGATGTATGAAACAGGTCCAACAGATGAGTTTGATGCAGATACAGATTAACAGAGTTGGAAGGGACTTTGTAGGTCATCTAGTCCAACCCCCCACCCAAGCAGGTGAGAGGTCTTTCTAGTCCAACCTCCAGAAAACCCTCTTCCATTCCAGACCAATGGTTGTGCAGTCTCTCCTTAAAAAAACCTTTAAAAATCTCCAGTGTTGGAGCACCCATAACTTTTTGGAGGCAAGCCATTCCATTGAATAACAGAATAATGGAGTTGGGAGGGACCTTGGACGTAGATAGACACAAATTAACAGAGTTGGAAGGGACCTTGTAGGTCATCAAGTCCAACCCCACCTAAGTAGGAAGCCCTACACCATTTCTGACAGATGGCAGTCCAGACTCTTCTTGAAAGCCTCCAGGGATGAAGCTCCCACAACTTCTGGAGGCAACTTCTGTTCCATTGGTTGCTTGTTCTTCCTGTCAGAAAATTCCTCCTTATTTCCAGCTTGAATCTTTCCTTGTTCGGTTTCCATCCATTATTCCTTGTCTGGCCTTCGGGTGCTTTAGAAAATAGCATGACCCCCTTCCTCCTCTCTGGGGCAGCCCCTCCAATATTGGAACATATGCTCTGAGAACTTCTACGAAGGAGCCCTCTTAACTCTCTTCCTCCCAATCAAACTGTCTAAACTCTTGGTTCTTCCACAAGGCAGCCCCTCCCTCCTGGGAATCCAGACTACATTCCACACCACATCTGATACATTTTGCAGAATTAGAGAGTTCTGGCCTTACAATTTGGCTTCCGGTGATGAAGCCCCTCCACAGCTTCTGAACAACAGAATAATAACCCAGTTGGAAGGGACCTTGTAGGCCATCTAGTCCAGCCCACCCCCTCGCCCAAGCAGGAGAGACCATTTCTGACAGATGGCAGTCCAGCCTCTTCTTGAAAGCCTCCAGGGATGAAGCTCCCACAACTTCCGAAGGCCGATTAATGAGATCATCTTAATCTTTTTGGATTAAGGTACCTCTTTTCTCTCCCAAAAAGAGCGGATAATTTCAGCTCCCCACTCTCGGAGATCTTATGACAGGTAATCCTCGACTTACAACAGTTCATTTAGTGACCAAAGTTACAACAGCGTGAATTATGACCAGGTTGTTTTTTTTCCCACACTTAACGACTTGCAGCATCCACATGGTCAAGTGATCAAAATTTGAATGCTTGGCAACTGGCTCCTTATTGATGATGGTCGTTGCCATGTCCCAGGGTGATGTGGTCCCATTTAGGTGACTTCCTGACAAACAAATCAGTGGAGAAGCCAGGTTCACTTAAACAACCATGCTACTAACTTAACCCACATCAGACTTATCGACAAGCTCTCCGTTCTACCAAATGTGAGCCCGGTCTTTTCTGTGTTACAGGCAATGGATTTAAATGTTCCTGTGCTGGCAAGAGACATTCCAGGAAATGCTGCTGTGATTGTACACCAAACAACTGGATTATTATATTCGACTCCACAGGTAATAATTAAGTTAAAATATGCTGGGTCCTATGTAGATCTGTCTGTCTCTCTGTCTGTCTGCCCCTCCTTCCATGCATCCATCTATCTATCTTATCTATCATCTCTTCTGCTTGGGTGGGGTGTGTGTGGACAAGATGGCTTACAAGATCCCTTCCAACTCTATTAATCTATCTTTCTATCATGTATCTGTATATCTCTATCATCTATCTATCTGCATGGAGATCATCTGTCTGTCCATAGTATCTATCAATTACCTATATCTATCATCTATCTATCTGCCTGTACATCCATCCGTCCATCGATCATCTATCTCAATCATCTACCTATCTACCTACCTATCTCTCTGTCTATCTATCTATATCTATCTATCTATCTATCTATCTATCTATCTATCTATCTATCTATCTATCTTTATCTATCTCTATCTATCTATCTATCTATCTCTATCTCTCTCAGTTTTTTTCCTGAATGATGCGGGATAGGAGAATGAAATAATTTCATATTGGGAGCTGTCCATGACTCACGGTGCTGAAGCCGACTTGGGGGTTAAGCTTTCAATTGAGACCTAATTCTCCCTGTCCTCCCCCCCGCCCCTGGGTAGCCCGCAGGATGTGTCACCTTCCAGATAATTTATAGCTCCACTGCCATAATGAAAACCTTGATCTTATTTGTGTTAAGCTTTCAAACCGTTTCGTGGCACCCGGGTCACAGCTGTGGAAGTGTCTAACCACTGAGATGTTAAGTCCTCCGTACATACGCTGCCATGGAGGTTCACCCCCATTTCCTAATTAACCAGAGTGTGTTATTAAAACTCAGAAAGGTCCGGGGGAAAGGGAGGAATTACGGGGGAATTAATCCTGTTGATCCCATAAATTAGATTTCAGTTCTCCATCAATAATCAGGTACGTGCAATAACGCTAGGCTTTTAAAGAATAAAAATGCGGACCCAGATTAAATAAAACCACCAAGTGAAAAATACATTTTCTCTTAAGCCTTTTTTTTTTTTTTTTTGGTGAAAGCGTGATGAATGCTGTTAAGTATAGTCAGAAAGTTAAATCTTCCATTTTCATTAGTCCTTCATGTAACTATCCCCTTCTGAAAAAAAAAATCAAGAAAAATGTTGCGGTTAACATGTTCCTCCACCCCCCCCACCAAAGTCAGCTGTTTCCTGCAGGGTTCAGGAATGAATCTTTTTTGTGATATAAGCTACAGCAGGTTTTTCCCCCCTTGAATCTGAACATTATGATGATGTTTTTAATGTGTCCATGAGGTCCCAGGGGCCAAGACCAGAGAGAAAACAATATCTTACTTCAGACTTTAAATTGGGGTTTTTTTGTGTGGTGGTTGTTGTTTTTTATTTTGGCAAATTGTCTTGTGATCAAAGTTGGTGTTGGGCAAGATGGGGAGGTTCAAGGACCCTTTTGAGAATTTTAGGCAGGGTGAACGTCTGTGTTCCCCTCCTGCCAAGATCCACTAATAACAGCTAAGAATTCTCTTTTAAGACACACACAAACACACACACACACACACACAGAGAGAGAGACAGACAGACACACACACACACTTTGGTCTCTTTGCTTCTTTTCCTCCATTCTTTCATCGGTCGGAAGAAATGGAAGAAATAAACAATACCAAAAGAGGAGATGATTTGTATGTCGGAGTTCAACTATGAGGGGTCCTTGGTGCTCTCTGAGCTTGGTTATTTTCTTGCAGACATTTTATGACCCAACTGGGGAACATCATCAGAACTAGCAGGGAGTGAGGTTTGTGAAAAAGAGGAGGAGGAGGAGGAGGAGGAGGAGGAGGAGGAGGAGGAGGAGGAGGAGGAGGAGGAGGAGGAGGAGGAGGAGGAGGAAAAAAACTGTGGGTTCCTTGGTGCTCTCTGAGCTTGGTTGTTTGCCTGCAGACGTTCATGACGCAACTTGGTTACATCATGAGCGCTGGAAGGGAGTAGTGTTTAGGGATTAGAAGAGGAGGAAGACTGTGAGGTCCTCAGTGCTCTCTGAGGTGGTTGTTTTCTTGACAACACATCATTACCCAACTAGGGAACACTACCAGTGTTGCTACCTGATGACGTTACCTAGTTGGATCAGCAAGAAAACCACTAATCTCAAGAGAACACCAAGGATGCTACATGTTGAACTGTTATTTTGGGTTTTGGAAAACCATGTTGGGAAATCTTCTGGTAGAATATGAGTCTGGCAATGCATCTGCTTCCTAATCTGGTGTACCCTTGAAAACAAAGCTTTCTTGGGAACTTTGGAGAAGTACCGCCCTTATTAGTCATAGAACTCTACTGATAATGGCCCACTCCATACTCTTCCTTTTCAGGAATTTGTCCAGCAGGCCAAAACTTTGATGAAGGACCCAGTTTTGTACAAAGAGATTGTAAGAAAGGCACATGAATATGTCCTGAAGCACCATTCATGGGAGAAAGAAAGGAAGGTCTATCAGAACCTTGTTTTGAGACTTCATGAATGTTCTTGTATCAAAAAAACATGAGTTACCAACCACCGTGGTCAACCGGGTTTTCATCTTAATCATCTGATTTGTCTTCCTTAATGTTATTGCCATTGTTGATTTTGTAGATTTTGTTCTCCTTCAGAGTCAAAATGTAGACCTCTACAGCCTGGCAGCCTCCAGGAGCATGGGACTTCTGTTCCCATAATCCCCCTACTAGTCATCACCAAAGGACTATGGGAACCGAACTCAAACACATTACAGAACCCCAAGTTGAAAAAAAATCCTAAACATACCGTTTATTGTTGACTGGAAACACTTTATAGATTTTTATTGCACGAAGCATAAGAAATTGAACTTATGATTTGTGGTTGGGATGATTAGAAGGAATAGATTATAAGGGAAAATAGTTGTGCTGTAGCCCACAGAGCAAGGGGTAAATTTAAAATTGTTTTTATAACTGATGTAGTAAAAAATATATATTTTTGTTCTCTCTTTGCTGTTCCATTTTTGTTTCCTTGATTTTTTCTTCCTTTCTTTCCTCCTTATCTTCCTTTCTTCCCTCCCCCCCCCTCATTCTTTCTTTGAATCTATATTAGTTTTCATTACTTTTTATCCTCTTTTTAAAAATCCTTCATAAATTTGTATGCATCAAAATTGCATGTATATAATGCATTAAATAAAACAATCTGCCTGAATGATAGTGCAAAGTTGAGGTTATGGTAACAAATAGTGAATATCTGCATTATCTGGGGTAGTTTCACCTGCATCTCTACACAGATACACAGATACTCAATGAGGGCTCTCTAGAGCCGTGGTCGCCAACCAGTGGGCCAGGGACCACTCATGGTCCGTGAGAAAATTTTGGTGGTCCGCAGAAAACTGTCACCCCCAAAGCACCTCCCAAAGCAATTAATCCAGGCTGCACAGGAACACAAGGCTTGCGTCGCTTGCATTGCGAACAACACGAGGTAGTGAGGGGAGGGGGGAAAGGGCGGAGGGGGGAACTTGCCCCACTCGCCCTACGTGCCTCGCCTGGCCACCGGGCTGCTTCTTTCTGCTTCTTTTGGCTGCATGCAAGAAAAGCAGCAAAAGTCTTTCTTTCTCTCCCCCAAACTCTGCCAGAAATGAGTCTTTGGGACCCTGCAAGGCATCCTGCTCCAAGAAGCTGCGCCATTCTGGCGGAGTTTGGGGGAGAGAAAGAAAGACTTCTGCTGCTTCTGCTGTTTTCCTTGCATGAAGTCAAAAGTCTCTCCCTCCCCCCCCCCCCCCGAGAACGGAGGTGGAGACGGTATCCTGTGATCCCAAATAAAGAATGATCGATTGGTAGGAAAACCAGGTGGGGAATTTTCCTGCAGATTTTTGGGGGGATTTTCCCAGGGTCTCTGGTCCGCAGGATTTAAAATTATGAGTTTGGTGGTCCCTGAGGTCCAAAAGGTTGGTGACCCCTGCTCTAGAGCCTTATATGAAGCCCTAACTAGGAAGAGTGAATTAAGCATCAACCCCCAACAAAATTATCTGACTCTTTGTGGCTATGGATTCACAGCTCGTTCCTTTCACCCAACTCCAGAAGAGACAAACTCAAATTTGAACTTAATCAGCCAGTTTTAAATCCACATCTGTTTCCAGCAGGAAAGAAAGAAAAACAACAACTTTAAAGGTTTGTTTGTTTGTTTTTTTAGAACAGGAGTCGCTTATCTCGGTGCAAAGAACGGGAATGAGAAAAATTTAATTTCCTCTTCTTGTCAGCTGGAGTTGCAGAGGTAGTTTTACACACACATGTGCGCGCACACACACACGCTCCATTCCCTGCGGTGGGTAACTACATTAAAGAAAAATGAATTGGACTCTATTGGTCCAAACCGGCCAATAAAAAAGATGAATCCATCTCGAAAGCAAAACTAGATAAATGCTACCTATCAGAGAATGTCTTTTAATGATCTCCTGCTGGGAACACAGTGAGAACTCCAGCCAGGGAGGGGGAGGCGAAAACAACTCAACCCCTTTGTTGAGCAAAGATCATCTTCAGACCGACTGATCTTATTTATTTATAAATTCCTGGGGAACAGTAGATACCTCAAAATAAAAGGCTGTGTTTTCTAACCAAGCACTCGTTTTCTGCAAGTTATATTGAATACGTCGAGCGATTTCGGCTCTTTGGTATATTATTCTTGATTTTAAATCCCTTAGTCATTACTGTTGTTCGATAAGCGTTAGTAGGATTTGTCTCTCACCCCCCCCCAAAAAAGCAATTAAAGGAAGACCCCCTTGGCCCATAAATCTTAGAGCAAGCATGATTCATTTTTCATTCGTGGTAAGGCTGATTTTTTCTTTAAGGTTACAAAACAAAACCTTTCTGGAATTCTGGGTTTTTCTTTTCTTTTAACAGCCAAACTATTTAACAGATTAACAGAGTTGGAAGGGACCTTGCAGGTCATCTAGTCCAACCCCCCGCCCAAGCAGGAGACCCTACAACCATTTCCGACCGATGGCAGTCCAGTCTCTTCTTGAAAGCCTCCAGTGATGAAGCTCCCACAACTTCTGAAGGCAACCTCTGTTCCACTGGTTGATTGTTCTCATGTCAGAAAATTCCTCCTTATTTCCAGGTTGAATCTTTCCTTGGTCAGTTTTCCATTCGTTATTCCTTGTTTGGCCTTTGGGTGTTTTGGAAAATAGCTTGACCCCTTCCTCCTCTCTGTGGCAGCCCCTCAAATATTGGAAGGCTGCTCTCCTGTCTCCCCTGGTCCTTCTCTTCGCTAGACTAGCCAGGCCCAGTTCCTGCAACCGTTCTTTGTTCTTCCTATGTTTTAGCCTCCAGGCCTTTGATCAATTTAGATACAGATGCAGATTAACAGAGTTGGAAGGGACCTTGTAGGTCATTTACTCCAACCCCTCACCCAAGCAGAAGACCCAACACCATTTCTGACAGAGGACACTCCAGTCTCTTCTTGAAAGCCTCCAGCGATGGAGCTCCCACAACTTCCAAAGGCAACTTCTGTTCCACAGGTTGATTGTTCTCATGTCAGAAAATTCCTTTCCTTATTTCCAGGTTGAATCTCTCCTTGATCAGTTCCCATCCATTATTCCTTGTCTGGCCTTCAGATGCTTTGGAAAATAGCTTGACCCCTTCCTCCTCTCTGGGGCAGCCCCTCAAATACTGGAAAACTGCTAACCTGTCTTCTCTGGTTCTTCACTGACTAGCCAGGCCCAGTTCCTGCAACCATTCATCGTATCTTTTAGCCTCCAGTCCCCTCATCATCCTGGTTGCTCTTCTCTGCGCTTTTTCTAGAGTCTCAACATCTTTTTTATAGTGTGGGGACCAAAACTGGATGCAGTACTCTAGGTATGGTCTCGTTGTTTTATATTGCTTCAGTAAAACCCCACTGATCTTGGCTTGGTTCATCTGAGCTACCCTGGGCCTTGTGTGTGTTGAATGTTCGTTAGAATATGCTAACGAAGAGAAGGATTGGGGTGACGTGATAGCAGTCTTCCAATATGTCACAAAGAAGAGTGGGGTCAAGTTATTCTCCAAAGCACCAGAAAGCAAGATAAGAAACAACGGATGGAAACTAATCAAGGAGAGAACCAACCAGGAATTAAGGAGAAACTTCCTAACAGGGAAGACAATCAACCAGTGGAACTGCTTGCCACCAGAGGTTGTGGGTGCTTCATCACTGGAGCTTTTACAGAAAAGACTGGACAGCCATTTGTCTGAAATGGTAGAGGGTCTCTTGCTTCAAGCAGGGATTGGACTAGAACAGAGGTCCCCAAACTTGGCAACTTTAAGACTTGTGGACTTCAACTCCCAGAATTCTCCAACCAGCATAGCCTCCTGGGGATTGGCCCCAGCATAGCTGACTGGAGAATTCTGGGAGTTGAAGACCACAAGTCTTAAAGTTGCCAAGTCTGGGGACCCGTGGACTAGAACTCCAACATCCTTTCCAATACTGTAACAGGCAGTCCTTGACTTACAACAATTCATTTAGCGACCGTTCAGAGTTACCACAGCCCTGAAAAAAGGAGCTTAGGACCATTTTACCCACTTACAACAATTTTTTCCCACTTACAACAAATTCAGGCGCTTGGCAATTGATTCATATCTATGACGGACAAATTGTTGCGGGGTCACCTGATCCCCTTTTGCGACCTGTCCAGCAAAGTCAACAGGGAAACCAGGTTCACTTAATGGCCGTGTGACTAAGTTAACCGCTGCAGCGGTTCGCTTAACAACACTGGCAAGAAAGTTCATAAAACGGGGTTTGAAGTTCACATAACAAGCATCTCGCTTAGCTACAGAAATGTTGGGCTCCATTGTGGTCATAAGTCAAGGACTACCTGTATTTGGTGTGTCTGCAGTTCTCTAGGCTGGTTTTCCAGTTGGACTACAGCTCCTATCTTCCCCAGCCAGTAATTGGTTATGTTGGCAGGGAGGGAGCTGCTGCGTACAATCCAGAAAGTCAGTCCTTGATGTGAAATTCCATCAAAATGTATTGTGATGACCCAAAGGGGCGTGGCACAAAGGCAACACAGTCATATAATTAATAACAGTCCCTTTATTAGCTCCAACTTTGCCCCCCAATGTCCTGGTTACCTTTTGGGCTGGAGAAAAACTCTCCCAGGAACAGCTTTTAACTGTAGAAAATTAAGTCCAAAACATGGTTAACAAAAACTGTAACTATAAGTTCAGTCAAGGCAAAATGAGGTAATTAGTTCGGCCGAGCAGGAGCAAGAATACCAGACATGCAGGCACGGCAATAACTCAACATGGTTGGGAAGACACCAGGAACACAGATAAGCAAAGTCAACACAAGATTTTTGCTCCCAGCAGATGCCGCACTCAGCCTGCATTTCTTATAAACTCTCTTCCCAGGTGTGGCTAATGAAGGGAATCAGGGCCCTTTCCTCCCCCATAAGCCATGCAACCCACATTTCTCTCTTCTCCGTTCCTCCCTGCATGCCCTAGGATAAAGAGGGGCTGGGCCTGGATCTTCCTCTGAACTCCCTCTCCCTTGATCTACCTCTCCCCTGCTCTGCCCAGCCGGACTTTGCCCTTCCCCAGTTTCCTCCACAGCCAACAGAGCCACACTCCCTCTCCCTGTCGGGTGTTCATCTTCCTCCTCAGATTCAGACACTGACAGGGGCATCACACACACACACACACACACACGATTTGTATCCTGGGTGTTTTGGTTCACGCAGCGGTATTTTCCTTGCGCACAATATTTTAAATAAATAGAATAAAATCAGGTATTTAAATTCCATCTCGCCCCAAAGAGCGGCCTTGAGGCAGGGCTGAAGTTAGAGCTGCCCCCCTCCTCTGACACACATACATTTTTAAAGCTTGTTTTGACTGCTGCAAAAATTATCATTCCAAGTTGTTTGCCAGTCTGCCAAGTCCCCCTTTGCTCCTATTTTTAGCAAGGCCAAAA